TTGCGCCAGTGAGGAGAGGATGAGCCCGGTGGCGGGAGCCACCACCACCCACCGACGTGTGAGCTCGGGTGCCGACGAGGTGCATGCGCAGTGGAGAACCGAGTCGAGAATGTTAATATCTATTAAGATCGCATTGTCATCGATCTAGCCGGGTAACATGGTCTGGTAGGACTACTAGACAGAGATTAGAGAGAGAGAGGAGTAGTGCTAGGTTACCGATTATCGTAGGCTTTTGATCCAGAGGCGTCGGTCATGGTTGTTGTGCTGGTGTCTGCGCGAGGACAGCGACGGTCGGTGAAGAGGGCGATGAAGTCGTCGATGTCGGTGGAGCGGGGCGGCACGGCTGGTGACTTCCCGTCACTGGCTGCACCCCTGTCTAATCGGGATTAGGGTTTAGGTTTCGGTGGGGAGCTTGGTTCAGGCGAACCTCGTACTTAGAGCCGTCGGCCCCCACCTTTATATATTGCGCAGTGTGACAGGACCCTCCAGCCATAGTGGGCTGGACGCCCCCGATCAGGGCGCGGAGCAAAGGGCCAACTAGGCTGTTGGGCCCAGTTTAGGATTAGAGATCAATCTAACAATTTCTCCATTGATCTTCTACCATCTTTCAATTTCATATCATTTACTTTTGTTCATTCCATTACAGATTAGCGCATAGAGCATGTTTCATCGTCACGGTCAATTGCCGATAGATTTAACAACTACAACACACCACTCTGTTCTGAAATATATACTTAACTTTGGACCTTCTTTTATCTAGAAATTATAGGCTTTTCCTTAAACCCATGACGACTACATGTTCTCTGAACACGTTGGGTGGTAAGCCTTTTGTAAGCGGATCCGCGGTCATCTTTTTGGTACTTATATGCTCAAGACTTATGATATGATTCCGGACTTTATCTTTCACAACATAATACTTTATGTCAATGTGTTTGGCAGCCCTACTTGACTTATTATTGTGGGCATACTGTACTGCTGGATTATTATCGCAGTATAACTTAAGTGGCATATAGATGTCGTCAACCACCTTCAAACCGGGTATAAACTTCTTTAGCCAGTTCACCTGCCCCGTTGCCTCATAACACGCTACAAACTCGGCATACATTGTGGACGATGTAGTAACAGTTTGCTTTGAGCTTTTCCATGAAATAGCCCCCCTTGCGAGAGTGAATACATATCCAGACGTGGATTTTCTATCATCTCCCGCATAATCAGAATCTGAATATCCCACTATATGGAGTGAATCTGATCTTCTATACGTCATCATGAGGCTTTTCGTTTCTTGCAAATAACGCAAGACTTTCTTTACTAATTTCCAGTGTTCTATTCCAGGATTGCTCTGAAATCTGCCAAGTAACCCGGTAACAAATGCTAAGTCAGGATGCGTACATACTTGAGCATATTGCAAGCTTCCGACAGCTGAAGCATATGGAACCGTTTTCATTTGATCGATCTCATACTGATCAAGTTTCTCTGTAAAGAGAGAACATAAAGTACATCTGTAAGTAAAAGTGTGAAGCCATCAGCAAGCTCTGGAGAAAGATCACCAACGGCTTCAACATCTGCTCGGACTCCATTTGCAACTTTAACGTGTCTTTATCTTCTTTACGTAGTCCTCGTCGAACGGAATCTCTATAAGGAATTAGCAACATGAACAGTTGCACCTGAGTCAATCCACCAAGTAGATTTCGAATACTGTACATACAGAGATTTATTTATGAACGTAATAATGTTATCACCTTTCTTTGCCATGATCATCTTTAAGTAATCGGAACAATCTTTTTTATAATGTCCCGTCTTCTTGCAATAGAGACACTAGTCTTTCTCTACTGTGAACTTGTTCTGCTGAGGCTGATGCAGCATGGGACCCTTTTCCTTTGACTTTGAGGAGGAGTTAGCATTATTATTCTTTTTCTTGTTGTCTTTCACATAATTGATAGTGCCACCATTTGCAGCTTTCATTCACTCCTCCTCTTGCACACATAGCCATGAGCCTCTCTAAATCTCACTTCTCGGGTTGTATGTTGTAGTTGACAACAAAAGTGTCAAATTCTTTAGGCAAGGAAGCAAAAATCAGATGAATAAGGAACTCTTCCTTGAGAGCCAGATCCATTTGTTTTAGCTTGGATGCCAAATTGCTCATCCTTAGTATGTGTTCTCTTATGCCACCATTTTCAGAGTACTTCTCTGTCACCAGCTACTTTATCAGCTGGGTAGCATATGTCTTTGAAGAGCAAGTGAACTGACTCTTTATTCTATCGAGATACTCGGTGATCATGTTACACTCTGGGATTAAGCCCACAATTGTAGGCTCAATCATGTTCTTTATCACAGCCAAACATTTCTTGTTGGCAGTGACTCACTTTTTATACTCAAGGTCATAGGACATCTTTTGGGATGCAAAATCCCTCTCTCTAGTTGCCCAAGCGACATCAGCCTCGTTTGTCCTCCTCACCGGTGCCACAGGCTCAGTGGGACACAGTGAGGTGACTACCCAGTCCACCTCAGTCAAGATGAAGGCCAGGTCAATCTTTTTCTTTCACTCCATATAGTTGTCACATTTGAGAGTGGGGATCTCTTTGATACAACCCATTAAGTTGTATCCACTTAAAAACACAATTCATATAGAGTGAGAACATAAACATAATAATAACAATTGCATGCCTTAGTTCCAATGTTGGTCAAAATTAAAACATATAATATTCTTATACACTAATTCTATATTACCGTTGGACAGAAATAGAATTAATGCATGGAAAACTTATGATTAAATCTTATAATATTGTTATTATCAACGTTGGTCAGAAAAATAATAATATTATAATTTACTAATTAAAATTGACTACTCTTCAAATTAAATTCTCCCATTGGTTCGAGTTTAATTAGAAGATCATTAACTTTAACATTGTAGCGGAAAAATAATTTAATTTAATGAATTTTACCCATAGAAAAATTCTTTTTTCTATTTACTTTAAGCCATTTATCCATTTTCTAGGAAATAAACATTTACTGGAAAAAGAAAAAGAAAAACTGACTCATTTCTTTTTATCGTCTTCGCCCTAACCGCAAAAGCGGCCCCGGCCATCGCTGCAGCCTCCCGCGCCAAAGTCATAGAACTGGGCTTGGGCGGTAAACCGCCAAAGATCATACCAAGATGGGCCAAAGTCGGCCCGATTGTTCGCAACCGCTTCGATCAAGATCGATGGCTCAGCTTCTTTTTCGCGCGAACAAAAACAGCGGTTGCAGCCGGCTCCCCTAAAACCCTAGCTCAGTCTCACTCCCTCCCTTTCCTCTCTGACCGCCGCGACAGAGAGCAGAGGCCTTGACGGCAGCCGTGGCGGCGGAGGAGAAGTGGCGGTGTGCCGCCCGCTTCTTTCGTCGGTGCATGCGTCCACCGAGGGTGAGCGCACCGCCGTCGAAGGGCTGCGCTGCGGTGCCCTTGACACCCGAGCCCGAGCCCAAGCCCGAGCCACGCGATGGCGTGACCTGCCCGATCGGCGCCTCTGGTTCTTCCCACGCGCCGGCGGCGAAGACGGGACGGCCGGGCCCCAGGTAGGAAGCCCCTTCTCTACCGTCCCCTTTCTCTTTCTAGGGTTAGGGTTTCTTTTTCCGATTCGATTCGGTTCATCTCTTTCATTTGATTTCTTTTCTTTTCTATTTGTACCCATACCGAGATCTACTTAATAGAGCCTGGCTCTGGTACCAATGTTAATATCTATTACGATCACATAGTCATAGATCTAGCCGGGTACAACTTGTAAATGGATAACATGTCCTAGTACGACTACTAGACAGAGTTTAGAAGAAGGAGTAGTGCTAGGTTACCGACCATCGTAGGCCTTCGATCCAGAGGCGTCGGCCATGGTTGTTGTGCCGGTGTCTGCGCGAGGGCAGCGACGGTTGGTGAAGGGGACGATGAAGTGGTCGATGTCGGTGGAGCAGGGCGGCGCGGCTGGTGGCTTCCCGTCACTGGCTGCGCCCCTCTCTGATCGGGATTAGGGTTTAGGTTTTGGTGGGGAGCTCGGTTCAGGCAAACCTCATACTCAGAGCCGTCGGCCCCCACCTCTATATATTGCACAGTGTGACAGGGGCCCTCTAGCCATAGTGGGCTGGGCGCCTCCGATCAGGGCGCAGATCAAAGGCCCAACTGGGCTGTTGAGCCCAGTTTAGGATTAGAGATCAATCTAACAGAGAAGACTGAAAAATGAGGAACGTATGCATGCTTGTCAACGTAACCTCTGAACTATAAAACCAAGTATTGTACACATTAAATTTTATAAAACAGGACAAATAATCCTGATGGTTTTGCTAGAGGGTTTTGAATATGTGACACTCCACGTTGGCTGCCCTTGATGACATGGCCTCTAGGGCTCTTGGCAGTCTGCGGGAGGGAAAAATTTCCATGTTTTTCGTTTCCGGGCGGGACCGCGAGAGGCCGGCGGCGGCAGAGCATCGAGCGGCGATGACGCATCTTGTGGCGGCCGGTGGCTGCGCATCTTGCCTTGCGGCGGCGGCCAGCTGCGGTAGTCGGCTGCTGCGCGCGGCCAGGGGAGGAGGGCGGCGGCTGCGGCCAGGACCGGCGCACGCTTGGCAGCTGCGGCGGACAGTAGTGCTCGGGGCTCGGAACGTATATTCGCACGGAGAGAACGGAAGAGCCACCGTCGTCACGCAGTTTCCCAACGTGCAGATGGAGGATAAGCTGCCGCCCTGAATCACCTTTGGCAAAGATGTGAACACGTTGGTGTGCATCGTGTAGGGCTCGCCGGAGATGTTGCCCAGGAACGGAGTTCCCCGGGACTAGCTTCAGCTGCATGTCGATCTTGGCCGCCGCGGCGATGGCGGCGGAGTAAGCTAGCAGCACGCCCAGCAGCCTAACCAACCAGCCAGCCAAGAGACACGAGAGTACACTAATCACTAGCTAGAACTACGATATCGATGGAGCAGGTGCAGGTGCCACCAGGAGCTCGAACTCGTCTTCGCGTTAAATTAAATCCCGCCGCCTACCCCGCTATCGACGATGCCCTCGACGCTTGCATATGCAAGCGGGCAGCCCGCTGTGAGCACCCGATGACCTTGCTGCGGCCTGTTCCGGGTCCCGCAGCAGCATGCATGCTCTCCGAGGCATGGTACCTGCCAATCTTGCCGAACTCGGCGGCGTCCTCCAAGCCCGGGAACAGCTTGGCCAATCCCTCGAGCACCCAGATGACGGCGTCCATGATCTGAATGGGCACTTTGATGAACTTGGGCTCGCGCCCGAGCAGCCGGAACAGCATCTCCCCGTTCTCCAGCGGCCCGCCGATGGGCAGCACCTTGTTAGCCTTGTCCTCGTAGTAAATGCAATCAGCGATGAAGGCGGCGAGGTCCTCCTCGCTGATGGTCTTACAGGTGCAGAGCTTGCCGTCGCCGAACATGACGTACGTCTGGGTCCCGCGCACACGACGCTTTAGGTGAAGGCGGGTCCCGGCGGCCTCCGCGGCCAGCTTCTCCTCGAACTTAGAGCTGGCGCGCTAGGACTCGAGGAGCGGCTTCTGGACACGCCGCAAGTCCTGCACGCAGCCGCCGCGAGTCCTGCGCAGACCACGGCGTGGACAGGCCGGGCGGGGCGAGTTCTGCGAGAAGCGCGGCTGGGTCGGTGACGTCGGAGAAGACAATCTGGGCGGGGTGAGGTCCGGCAGAAGGCGTAGGAAGAGCAGGAGCTGTCATACAGGTTGACTGGTGGGCCTGGATGCCACATTATCAAAACCAGCGAGAGTGGATTGACACATCAGCAAAACCATCTCCCAATACCACTATAGGGGGTTATTTGTCTGGTTTTACAAAGTTTAGTGTGTACAATATCTGGTTTTATAGTTTATGGAGGTTATGTAGACCACCCTGGATATGTTAGGGGGTTACGTAGACTTTTTTCGAAAAATAACGATACATGTGGTTGGCTTTTAATTTTTTATATAGCAAGATCACTTCTGGAAGCCCGGTCTCATACATACCCTAAGTAAGGTTGTCTATTGTGAAGGTGACTATGAAGAGAGACAATATGATATAGTACGGTAATATTGCTTTTGCCCCTAAGAGCATCAGCAGTGTGGGGGTCGAGGCTGGTTCGATGCAATGAATGTGCGCCTCGTACCTGGGTCGATACACTGCGAGGATGAGTCAATAGAGACCCGAGTTCTTTGTATCGAACCCGCTCCCAGCGAAAAAAGAAATGCAACGAAAGAAGCGAACGGTTGAGAGATGATGACTTTTCCCCACCGCGGGTCCCATCTATCGATCCGGGCTGGGTTCTACACACTGTGGCCCAGTTACCAGATGAAGTCACGTCATTTCGTAGGACCGAGGCCGGTGCGATACACTACGGGTGCTCTAAGGACATATGCCCCCATGTGCTTCACTGTTTGACGCATATTGGAATGTGTGTATAGCATGAGAGATAGTATTGAAGAAGGCAATAGACGATAGTGGTAGGCGAGGGCAGCGGTGAGGGCGTCGTCGTCCATGGGCTCGGAGGGGTTAGAGTCAGGGAGTGTTTGGTTCACCTAATTCCTAAATTTAGTAGCTTTTAGTCTTTTTAGTAATTTTTTTGCTAAACACTATGACTAAATATGACTAAAAAGGCTTTAGTACTCTCTAGTAACTTTGGAGTAACTAAAAATAACTAAACCATTTAGTAGCTCCTAAAATTTAGTAGCCCAAACCAGGCCTTCAGAGGCGGTGGACGGTAGTAGCAGACGGCGGGCGTCTATTGATGTTCATTAATCTGCAATTCTAGTGATACAATGTGTTTGCACTCATGTCCTCTCCTACATGGTCTTGTACTACCATTGCTGTATGCAAGAAAGGTGCCCCGTGGGAGAGGCGACCGACATGCATGTCTGCGACAGCAGGTCATGTCCAAGCACACTGCGACATGACATCTAGCTCTCCTTCCCCCTGCAGCCATGGAGCACGCACGAGCAGGCCCCACACCCACAGGGCCACACAGCTCACCACCTGTCGCTTCCGCTGCAACCAATCATCTCAGCTCCTTCCCTACCAGTATACGGAGTAGTATATATACGGGCCTGCACCTGCAGCACCATCCACTCCATTTCCATCCGTCTTGCAGGAGCAGCTGCACACTTGACACACTTGTGCTGTGCTCGGTCCTGTCCATCGCTTCCTACTTGCAGCAGCTGCAGCAGCCTAGAGGTGTGGTGACACCTAGCTGTAGCACGTGGCCAGGTAGGTGATCGATCATGGGCGACGACGTGCGTGGCCTGCACGGCGGCGGCGGCGTGCCGGCGGCGAAGACGGAGCGCGCCGCGCGGCTGCACGTGGCGATGCTGGCGCTGCAGTTCGGGTACGCCGGCTTCCACGTGGTGTCGCGGCTGGCGCTCAACATGGGCGTCAGCAAGCTCGTCTTCCCCGTCTACCGCAACCTCATCGCGCTCTGCCTCCTGGCCCCCTTCGCCTACTTGCTGGAGAAGAAGGACAGGCCCGCCATGACGCCCGCCTTCCTGCTCCAGTTCTTCCTGCTGGCGCTGTGCGGGATCACCGCCAACCAGGGCTTCTACCTGCTGGGGCTCGACAACACGTCGCCCACGTTCGCCTCGGCGATCCAGAACTCGGTCCCCGCCATCACCTTCGCGATGGCGGCTGCGCTGGGCATCGAGCGCGTCCGCCTCCGCCGCCGCGACGGCCTCGCCAAGGCGGCCGGCACGCTGCTCTGCGTCGCCGGCGCCACCGTCATCACGCTCTTCAAGGGCCCCGCCGTCTTCGGCCCGGCGGCGGCAGTGGTGACCGTGACCGCCGTCGCGCTGCCGCAGGCAGCCGGCAACAACAGCAGCAAGAGCTGGGCGCTGGGGTGCGTCTACCTCATGGGCCACTGCCTGTCGTGGTCCGGCTGGCTGGTGCTGCAGGCGCCCATGCTCAAGCGCTACCCGGCGCGCCTGTCCGTCACCTCCTACACCTGCTTCTTCGGCCTCCTCCAGTTCCTCGCCGTCGCCGCCGTCGTCGAGCGCGACGCCGCCGCGTGGACGCTTACCTCCGGCTCCGAGCTCCTCACCATCCTCTACGCGGTGAGTTGGGTTGTTCCAGTTCGACTAGCACGCACGCACTGATCGCCGGCATGGCAAGAATCGAAGGTGACATGACACGAGACATGATGGCGCTTGGAACAGGGGCTGGTGGCGTCCGGCGTGGCGTTCGCGGTGCAGACGTGGTGCATCGACCGCGGCGGTCCGGTGTTCGTGGCCGTGTACCAGCCCGTGCAGACGCTCCTCGTCGCCGTCATGGCGTCGCTGCTCCTCGGCGAGCAATTCTACCTCGGCGGGTACGTTAATTATGTACCTGACGATCGATATATATCTTTCTTCTTCGATTCTCCGTCCATCGATATAATTAAAAGAAGAAGAAGAAAAATGTTTGCATGATTCATTTCTGGAATCGTTGCAGGATCATGGGGGCAGTGCTCATCATCGCTGGACTCTACCTGGTGTTGTGGGGCAAGAGCGAGGAGAGGGCGCTCGCTGCAAAGCAAGCCGCCGCCGCCGCCGGAGTCTGCGACGACGAGCCCGACGCGGGCGCCTCCTGCCTGAAGCAGCCGCTGCTGCCGCCGCCGGCGACCTTGGAGGCCGTGTGATGTGATGTGATCCAATCCAATCATTTTCATGCACGAGTAGTCCTATATGCATGGCTGAGATGCACTGCACCCGTCGTACCGAATCGTAGTGATAGCATCTGGTAGTCAACGTCCATCATCGCCCCATCAACATGTTAGGTTAATTATATATTAATTAATCCATAACCTATCATGCACATGGCTGTGTGTTGTGTTCACAAGGATACCACTACAAAAGCAATAGTGAGTAACATGTGCAACCGTTGTTGTAACCTTTCGTCAGCAAACTGCAGCGGCAGCTGTTTTTGTTTTAAATTGCAACTGGACCTTTAAAAAAAAAACTATAGGCAACTGGACCTTTTTTGTTGAGCTTCGGAGGGACAGTTGACTGATAGCGTGAGTGTCAAGTGCCATGCATGATATGTCGTCAGTCATCAGTCACGTACTCACATGGAGACATTATATAGCACGAATATTCTCAAGTATGTTAAATCAACTCCAGGAGTTTATGAAAAACTGGATCTCTAAACCGGTTTTCTAAAACACTCCTGTCCTGAAATTTTGAAATAAATGTATCAAAGATTCAAATTTTGTCTCCATTTATAAGATATTTTGGATTGCTTAACCCTATCAATGCGTGGTTGTCTTTTAAATCACATAGATGCGTGCATCTATGATGCATACCTTTTCAACATCGTCGACTTGCCCAAAATGGCTCATGAAAATCAATGACATGCATAATTGCCTTTTTAAACTATGCCTTATCTAACTAATTTGTGAAGGGCAAATTAGTCTTTTTTTGTTACTCTTTATTGTAGTCCTAAAATTACTTAGATACTCCATAATTCAGGATAGAGAGAATATTTAAACATTCATAATATAATAGGTATATCGCTCGCGGCAGAATCCCTTAATTAGACTCCATTTTTTATAAAGTTACATAATAAACAAAAAAAAACGAATTTGACCCTCATGATACGATTCGCCTGCGTCCAGGTCATGCATGCGCCGCCAAGTCCCGTCCAGCACATTCTCAGATGATGCTCGCACATCGCAAGGTTCAGAACCTCAGATGCCATTATACACTAAAAGCAAAATTAAAACAAACAACTTTATTTTAAGCGCAATTAGTTGGAGATGGTGGCTGCCAACCGGCCAAATTAGGACAATAGGCCACCGGCCACTAGTCCAGCGCATGTCCAAACACCTCTCTCCTTTTTCGAGGAACAAATCTCTATAGCACGTATCAGTATTGCAACTTGCGATAATTTTCATGTGACACCACCTCTACTACTTAGATATAGTCGGATTCGCATTAATTCACATCTGTTGTTGTGGATAGGGGTACGGTGGAACTTAGTTCAAATTCCACCTCAATCCACACCAACACATATGGATTGAGGTGAATCCGATAACATCCAAACAAGGCCTACAGGAGTAGAATTTCCCGGAACAAATAACCAAGAAAAGATCCCAAACAAGCAAAAATAACGGTGGGACCCTTCTAGTAGTAGGTAACACCAAAGAAAGTGTGGTTTTGTGGTAACACTAAACCGTGATATAGGTCAGGTTATTTTTGAGGCCATATATTAGACGTGGTTTTGGTCCACCCTTCAAATAAAGTAACAACACAAGTTGAAGTGGGAATGCCGATACTTAGAGATTGCGGCAATAGAGATACTCCATCTGTCCTAAAATAAATTTATAATATAAATTATACGAGAGGATACAAAAGACATATATATCCTCACTTCATTTATTAATCAGACGCTATCATCAACCTGATTAATGCAGATTGATTGATATATGTCA